CTGGTGTCAGGTTCTAGCAGAACCCAGATGTGTTCTTCCTCCTAAATGTCATGTGTCTATCTGCTGTACTGATGAAGTTCTGAGGCTCAGAAATGGTGGAAAAAGTCCATTAAAGTGATCAATCTGGACCCTCCTCTGTGGACTTGAAGGACCTGGACCTCTGGTCAGTAGGCAAAGGTTCTGCTGATACAGAACCAGATGTTCTGAGGAGGTCTGGTTGGTTGACCTTCTGTTGATTTCGACCTACGATGTTCAAACTATGCAAAGACCAAAAGAACCCTGGTGGGAGTGTGTGGGAGCTGCAGGGAACCCACCTGTCCACGGCGATGGCCAGCAGCGCGTTGGTGGACACGTAGAGCGACACGGTACGGAGGTAGTTGGTGGCGGCGCAGAGCAGCAGGCCGTGATCCCACGACAGCTGCTTCACCACGTAGTAGTCGAGCAGGAAGGGGCAGCAGACCGCCGCCACCAGCACGTCCGACACCGCCAGGTTGGCGATCAGCAGGTTGGTCAGGTTCCTGAGCTGCTTGTAGCGGGCGAGGCTGGCGATGAACAGGCAGTTCCCGACGCCACACACCAGCATGATGACCACCAGGACCACGGCGATGACGATGGTGGCCGCGAAGAAGGCCGGGCCCCGCGTGGTGTCCGGGATCTCCTCCGCAGGAACCTCGTAGTCCAGGAGGTCGCCGGTCAAGAAGGACTCGGTCAGAGCCGAGCTGCTGTTGGTCGGGTCGGCCATCTTGGATCACGGCGACATGCTCAGATCGTCGCGTCTGCAGAGAAAAACAAGGCGAGAGTTAACCTTCATCATCCAGGGAGAGATTCACATCACATGTGGGCCAATCAGAACAACTTCAGGTTCATCCTGGGTCTCCTATGAGTTCGTTCCTCTTTCCTCAGTCCTTGACCCACCCGGAAATCGTCCTCTGACTTCTTTTAGGATTGTTTGGAGGAAGCTGACTGAAGGTTGTCATGGTTACAGTGATCATCAGCTGGGTTAGGTTATGAACAGTCATTGTAAGAAGAAGAAGTGACAAGTAGAACTCAGTTTAGGGAAAGATCCTGTTTGGGTTAAAGTAGAAGATTAGAGGACCTTCTCAGTCAGGTGGCCAGTTTCAAACAGGAAACCCTGACCC